TTATGCTGGTCCTTTTGCTGGTTTTGACCAGCATAAACCAGCAAAAGGACCAGCATAAACCAGCAAAAGGACCAGCATAAACCAGCAAAAGGACCAGCATAAACCAGCAAAAGGACCAGCATACCTAACCACCATATGCTGTTTTTTCCACCAGGGTGATGAGCTGCATGGATATACTCTATGTGTTGTGCATGTGATATTGTGCTTTATTAGCTTTTAAATGTTTATCCACATATTTTGTTAGCTTTTAAATGTATATTCCCATTCTGTCGCCATTTATGTTTTTATTTTAGTGGCCTCAGGAGTAGATTTTATGCTTTTATACATTTTACATTGAAAAGACTTACTGTGGTAATACTATAGTGAACTGATACTTTTTTATATATATACCATGATATGACACTGATGATGAAAAAGGCTGGACAACTAAGTTTTTTGTTTGTTGTTTTGCATTGTGACATAAAAAACAGAAATCCAAATGACATATTGGTTTGATTTATTAAAAAAAATATGCAATTTATTAAAAATATTTCTATTACTGTCAATTTAATGCAATCGAGACAAATATAGAGTCACGTTACATAAAATATTGAGGGTCTTTGAAATAGGCTTTTAAAATCATTTGACATAAAAACATAAAATAAAATATTTGTATTACAGCCATTTTTAATGCAATAGTGTCAAATATTAAATTAGGAGTCTGGAGTCTATTATTCACTCATACACTTATTTATCTAACACACATACTCAGTCTACAGTATTTTAGCACATATTTGCACATTTTATACATAATATATGTATAATATATATATATATATATATATATATATATTATTTGCGCATAATATACCTGTACATACAACTGTCTATTGTTATATACCTGTACATACAATTGTCGATTTGTATATTTTTATTCCTTATTTACTCATTCTATTTTTTTTATTTTAATTTTTTATTATCTGTGTGTTTTTTGTTCTGTCACTGTCATTCTGTTACACTGTGGAAGCTTCTGTCACGAAATCAATTTCCTCGTATGTGTAAACATACCTGGCAATAAAGCTCATTCTGATTCTGATTCTGGACTCATTACAAAAATGCAAAAAAAAAAACTTAAGGGTTTTAAAATTAGTCGTTGTTTAACCAGTGTAATTCCCATTCAGTAGGTGGCGCGTTGAACCTAAGTTACCTTCGCATTTCCTCGACCTCAGCGAGGAACACACGTGGGAAAAGCTTACTGCGCATGCGCGGATATGGGCTGCAGCACTGGGCACTGGGCAGCAGCAGTGACTAGACAAGCGCTTTATCGACACAAGCTGAGTACAGGTGCCGAATAACCCAGCAAAATGCTCTTTTAAACAATCACGCGTCTCATCCCGAAGCCAGAGAGTAAGTTTCGCTTTCGACACCTCCCATCCGGTCATTTTAATGCGGTTTTAAAAAGCTGTGAGATGAAAGCCGGGCAGTGGCTCGCACAAAGAAGAAGACACAGGCTATATGCTAGTAGTTGTAGCAAGTGTAGAGACAGAGGCACCAAGACAGGCTGAGATCTCACTCTGATCACCTTTTAGATTGGTTGGTAGTTAGCTGGGCGTTAAATGAGCACGACAAACCTTCAGCCAACCGGATACATCTTATCTACAGGGCAGATGTGTGCTACAGTGACCCTAAATTGTGTAAGTGTGTCTGTGCTGATCTGAGATAAATGTAATGCATGTAGCTTGTGGCTAAGCAAACTTTGGTGGCTAGCAGATTTATTATAGGGTGGATGAAATGGCAACCACAAATTGTACTTTCAACTCAAAGTGCTTTGGTTTTATGATTGGCTAATTGTGTTTGAGATTTCACAACGTAGCTCAGCTCTTCCAAAGCTCCTGTTGTTTTTAATTAAGATCATAAATGTGTGTCAGCTTAAATGTATTTAATGCGGTTTTAAAAAGCTGTGAGATGAAAGCCGGGCAGTGGCTCGCACAAAGAAGAAGACACAGGCTATATGCTAGTAGTTGTAGCAAGTGTAGAGACAGAGGCACCAAGACAGGCTGAGATCTCACTCTGATCACCTTTTAGATTGGTTGGTAGTTAGCTGGGCGTTAAATGAGCACGACAAACCTTCAGCCAACCGGATACATCTTATCTACAGGGCAGATGTGTGCTACAGTGACCCTAAATTGTGTAAGTGTGTCTGTGCTGATCTGAGATAAATGTAATGCATGTAGCTTGTGGCTAAGCAAACTTTGGTGGCTAGCAGATTTATTATAGGGTGGATGAAATGGCAACCACAAATTGTACTTTCAACTCAAAGTGCTTTGGTTTTATGATTGGCTAATTGTGTTTGAGATTTCACAATGTAGCTCAGCTCTTCCAAAGCTCCTGTTGTTTTTAATTAAGATCATAAATGTGTGTCAGCTTAAATGTGAGTATTTGCTTGTAAGAGCTGTGAACCGTGAGTTCGTTTAGATATTGAACCCAGTTCAAGGTTTTTTTTTTGTAGAGCACCACCTAAATAAACAACTCCCCCATCCATTGGTCCATTTTGGGGATGATATAACAGGACGTGCTTGGGTCATCTTTGATTCTAAACAAATCCAGGATGTTTAAGGCAGTGTGAATCTAAGCTCCGGCTGATAACACCTCCTTCAGTGTCAAATTAAAAGCGGCTCCCTGATGAAAATAGCTGGGGGTTGGGTGCGCAGAACATGTCAGGCTCTGTCTCCACTGCACTTTTTGACACCTGCACATCTCAGATTGGAGGAGTCAGCTGGGAGCATGTGGCCTGTGGTTGTGTTGCCGCATCCCCTGCCGTGCCCCTGGGCACCTGCCAGGCAGATGGGAGAATGCGTTTGCATCGCACTCCTGACACTCAAACTACAGGGTGTGCACCGTGGGCCTTGACACCAGCTGTTTCAGAGAGCTTTTTAAAAAGGTCATGCTTGAATGCATGATATTTAAATAAATGGCTACAATGAGGCAATTACAGAGATCTATAGCTACAGCGTTTGATGGATGTTCAGGTGAATTAGCAAGGGTAGGGTCTTTGTACACTTCTGCGATTGTCGTTTTCTTGCGGCTGGCTGTAAATCATGTCATTTGTTGACTAGCACGCTCTACTCAATATTACTTACTTAGCTTGTTGGGATATTCACTGTGTGCTGGTTTTCAATCTGCAAGTCTTTTAATCTAAGGCGTTCTGATTATTGCTTCTGCTGCTGTGTTGCAGCAAACCGCCACTAATTAAACTAGAAATTTCCTCCTAATAATTTATTACTCTCATTAATTCCCATTGCAGTGTGTTCCATTAAACCTACATCTACACGTAAAATTGGATCTCTTTAATGACACCCTCGGAGGAGAAAATAGCCAATGTTTCTTTTTTTACACCATGTATTTTAAGAGACGAATTATGTGAATCCGTTTTTGTTCCTGACGTGACTGTTTCCTTTGCAGTGTGATGAGGAGTGAGAGTCCAATGTTGCATTAGTCTCATTGTGATATGCTGGCCTGTCTGCCGGTATCAAACCCCTCCCTCCAGCTTCTCTCGCACACGCAGATGAACACTGGACTTCAGAAATGTAAGAAATGGCCTTTAACCGAAATGAACTTTGTTCTGATTAGACTGCATGTACGTTTGACCTAGTTTGTCCCTTTGTTAGCTCTGCCTCTTGACCCTGCTCCATCAGAGCCCTGATAAGCAGTTTTATATTATCACATCTGCGCCACATTTCTTGCAGTACCCTTCATATTTGGCCTTCTTTTGCTCACAGGGGACAATACACAGAGGATGAGATCAGCACACTATCCTACCCCAGCGGATTTGGATGCCTATGCTAAGAAAGTTGCCAATAACCCACTGACTATAAAAATCTTCCCCAATAGTGTCAAAGTACCTCAGAGGAAGCATATTCGCCGCACCGTCAACGGTCTCGACACCTCCAGCCAGCGCTACAGCCCCTACCCACCTCAGGTCAACACCCGGACGGGCCTCTTGGCCATCGTCAAAGTCCCCGTCAAAGGGATCCTCAAGGACATCGAAGGCGGCCGAGCCCGTTTTCTCCCTAAGCTCATCATGAACCCGCACAGTGGGCTTTACGCCAATCCCAGCACTTTAAATGTTCCTCACACTGTTCCACACCTTCAGACTCCTTTAGGCCAGAAGAGTCTCGCTCACTCTCAGGCCTTGCAGGCCCATCCGCAGTCCCTGCAGCAGAAGAGCAGTTTACAACCACAGCAGAGCCTGGCCCACCAGGAGGCTTTACATCAGAGCCAGGCTCACCAACCGCCAGTACCGCACCACACCCTAAACCGCCAACAGACTATCATGCAGCAGCAGCCACAATTGCCTGGTCCGCAAGGACTCCGGCATCTGCCAGATATGGCGCAGTCGGTGCACCTGCAGCACTCCCAGGGCTTCTCTCAATCCCAGCCCATGCCACAGGCCTCTTGTGCCGGCCCTCTGGCCCCCGGGGTCTTACAGCCCACCCTGGCAGGCTTGCAGATGCCACGCAAGCTGCCCGACGCCGATGCCCCTCCCAATGTGACTGTGTCTACCTCAACCATCCCGCTTTCCATGGCTGCCAGCCTGCACCAGAACCGGCCCAGTGACCTGAGCAGCATCGTCAATCAGATCAACCAGTTCTGCCAGGCTCGAGCCGGCATGGGCTCTACCTCCATGTGTGAAGGACAGATCGCCAACCCCAGTCCCATCAGCCGCAACCAGCTCATCAATGCGAGCTCTCGGGTGTGCACCCATCCCGGTGTGGGTCCTCCACCTTCTTGCATCCTTGGTAATGCTGATAAAGTCGGTCCAGCTCCCGCTCTGCCACTGCCTGACATCGCTGCCATGAACAGGATGCCTCTTTACCACAATGACATGAAGCAGCATCAATCCCAGCCACAGTTACCCCACCAACAATGTCAGCAGGGACCTTGGGGGCAACACCAGTTGGCGCACCTTCAGCACCTTCCGGAGGGAGCGGCTCACCAGGGCAAGAATCTCCCTAGAGAGGCCCTAGTTGGACCGGGGTTCCTCACCAAGAACATGGGCTACCCGCAGGAGGTGTGCATGGCACAGCCCTTCAACTTGAAGCCCTCAACTGATAAACCAACACCATCTCCTCCGGTCAACGGGATGCACATGAGTTACAGTAACGGCCACTACATGCAGCCTCCCTGGAACAACATCCTACCCACGCCAAACAGTGACAGCCCAGGGTCTCAAGACATGGTGGGGCCGTTCCACGGGGGCCTCTCAGGGGCCTCCATAGACTGCACCCCCAGAGCACAGTACAGGACCGGGGCAGCCATTTCCAGTCAGACGAACCTGATGCAGACCATGGAGTACATGGGTGGTGACTTCCAGGCACCCTGCTTCCGAGCGCAGAATCCTGGCACAATGGCAAAGATGCGTAGAGCATCAGTCAGCAGGGCCACAGATTCAGGTGATAATAGAAATGTGCACATCCACCATCCAGGGTACAGATGAGCTACGGCCAGTTGACACTAGTCATTGTTATTCTGAGTGCAAGGGAAAAAAATTCCCCTCTTCCCGTTTCGTTCTCAGTCTTGCAAGTGATCTACTGAATGTTTCCAGTACAATGATTTATGTGGCTACCACAAAGCTGAACCCCCATGTGCCACTTTTTTCTTTTAATTTTAGTAGTTTAGATTGCTTAAATAAGTAGCTTTTGGAAAAGCTGTACGCATTTATTTATTTTAGTTTGTTTATTTGAATATTTTTTTCTTTCCAGAAAACAGTCATAACAGCTTCAGTTTATGATATCAGCACTGTTTTTTTCAGCATTCCTATCTGGTCTGTGTTATACAAATGAAAAATGTACCACACAACACGCATATATTTACTTTCTCTTTTTGGTTAGCAAATGTCCATTATTTAAAAAGCTGAGAAGAAATTCCCAGCAAATGCCATTTGTATGTAGTTGAGGCCTACTTGAGATTTGAAGTACTAACTCAATGAAGACATTTAAGGGGTGCCATGATACTGAAATATTTGGCTGTTCCATCTAAGCTAACAGCTTGGACAATGTATAGAGGTTGATTTTATTTTTGTTCCTCAATGTTTACATATTGTGCTTTTTGTAACTAATTCTGAATCGATATGAAAGTGCAAACTGATACTGGGATATGCACATATGACAAGACTGTTTCTTTTTCAGACTGTTGAACATGAATCAGGTTAAAGTCTTAGATGGAAATGTTACACTAGGGCTGAGTCAAGCCACATTGTCTACAATGTTAATCCTTCCCTTGAAGTGTCAGCTAATGCACTATCCTTTTTATTCCCTCTTTTTTTCTCGAGTATCCTATTAGATTTCAGTTTAAATGGAGACTGCTGTAAACTGAAATTGCTTCGGGACTTGTGCTGTGCCCTAATTGCATAGAGTAGGGTTTTATTTTGTCTCTCAATTTAATTGTTACTACTTGAATTTCATTGGAAAGAGGTAGTGACGGCAGGCTTCGACTCACTACAGGACTTAAGTTTAGCAGCCGACCCAAAGCTACCTTTGGGAAGAGTGTCATCATCTGCTCGTGCGTTAGTCCGTCGTTGAAGGAAAGACGTCCTTGACCGTAATTGGATGACGGAAGTGTGTTGATGTAAGCGCAATATAAATGAGCACCACGGGCTAGCCTGTGGCTTTACTGCTGTGCTACTGTAACTTAGAGGTGTGATTAGCCGGTGTGAATGCTGTGTGTCAAGGCAGATTGGCTCACTGCTTTTGCTCCATCATTAACACCATACCGCTCTTCCCTGGCGGGATCACTTCCATCTCCGTCACACGCTGTTGTGTCTGCGGAAGCCTGCCACTGCATTTTCCTCCCACTTTAGGCACTTGATGTGTCATGTCGGTCTTATCTAAAATAGCTGAAATGCACCGCCGGTGACAGTCTAGGTCTGTTCGACGGGAAATAACCAAAACAAAAGACGCATTTTAAGTTGAGTTGTTCTGTGAATTCGATAATTGATCCATCCCATGCTCCACGGTTTAAATCCCATGGAGAGTTTCTCTCTTTCTCAGGTCTACCTGTGCCTCTTCTCACGTTCTCCCTTGACTTTTACATCGACTGAGTCTCTCCACCTTTGTCAGGGCAGGCCATCTGGCAGTGGAGCATGGGTATTGTCAGACTTTGGTGGAGCAACTGCAGATGAGCGAGTGGGTGGAGCCGTGACTCCCAGTATCATAACCTCCCCGTTTGCCCCTCAGAAGCCTTAAATATTTGATCCTTGAACTGTCCTTGACAATAGGCATGGTGTAGAATATAAATTAATGATATTTAGCTACATTTGTTTAGTTTTTTGTGAAACCGTAAATCGGGGGAGCAAACTCCCGAAAGGAAGAGGTTTCTTTTGTATTTAGCAATGTATGTGTAGTACTGGGCTGTAACAGTTTTGCATTCACACCACATCATGTTATGTTTCCCCACACTAGCATCTTTATTTGCTCCGTTTACCATTGCAGCAAAACATGTTCCAGTCCTTTCCCGTAATGGGCGAACGCATTCGTCAGAAACGCAAGCTCGACTAAAAGGTTTGCGTAGAGGCTGATGTTTTTCAATAACACCAGGCCTAGTTTAAGTTTTCACGTCAGGATACGTTGCCCATGAAGCTGCTATTTTATTCCGACTACAAAAAGTTATTTCTTATAAATGTTGTGAGGATAGAGTTAAGATCTAATTTATATTATGCCTTTTTTTGCAATGCAATATTGTTAATAGGTTGAGCGTCGGTAGGCATAATAAGTTATTCCATTTGCCTGTCGACCATGTCGTTGTAAAGCTTGAACGTTTAGACTTCCTGTATTACTTTTGATCCTCTTTTCATGCCTTCTTACAGCTCAAGAGTACAAAGTCAGGTTACTCTTTTAATAGTTAATATCTCTATGTGAAGTGCCTCCTCTGGGCTGATGTGGACCGTGTGTATGTGACCGTAGGGATGGAAAATGGACCGGCGCTAGTGCACATTCCGTAGACGTAGTGCACTGCTCACGAACGGGGGACCGAGCTACTTTAAAAACTACTGATATCGTTCAGAAAAAAAAATGAACACCGTGTGCTGCTGCAGGTGCAAGATCTGTTCGGATGTGAATAGTTGCTGCTGAATCACTAGTTTAGGTGGCGAGAGCTACGCTGCTGAACTCCCTAGTGTCCTTGAAACATTCGAAGGAATGCTCTGGACAGTTCTTTGTCTTTTGGAGCACATGCACTCCTGCCCCCATCGCCCCCCTTCCCAAAACAACACAATGGCAGTTTTGGACTACAGGAGTGTGTGTTAGGAGTTGAGTGTGTCTCATCTTGTTCCACCAAAGAACAAAATGTTACTTGAATGGTAGCAGTGCGCACCTGTTTTGTGTAACCGAAAACTGTCATTCCAGATACACATTTTTTCAGGAACGTGTTGCACAAACATTCCCCTCTAACCAAAATAAAGTTTGACTTGCATTTGCAAAGTGTGTCTTGTCTGTTTTTCTTTTCTTGTGTAGTTGAATATTTCACTGATTATTGAATAAAATGGGTTACAAAAGTAATTATTTTGGATTAGTAAGACATTATGTTCAGACATATTCACCTATATTTGAGTGCACTCACCTCCTTTCATTTTTGCATTAAAATGTGTTTTCCGCAGCTTTTAATCAGTAATAATATAAATTATAATAGAATCAAATATTCTCTCTACTCAAGACAGGACTTAAGACTGATTTTTCAAGTCAGTCTATTGAATTTTCGGTATGTTGTGTTGGAAAGTCTAAAAACAAAATAATCTGATGAAATAAAATATCGTTTGTCACATGTATTTAAAGTAGTAGCCATTTTGTTTGCTGGTGTTGTTGGCTACCAACTTAAAATGAAGGAAATTACCTTTTTAAAAGCCTATTCAAGCAGTTTCTTAAAATTAGGCTATTCTGTCCTATACTTACCAGAGCCTGTGTATTAGTAACCACTAGCTTGGAAAGAAGCGCTTGAGAATGGACAGTAATTTTCTAAATGTTTTTATGCTTGCCAAGGATTACAGTAAATTCCGGTCCTCGGATTCGATTGGCTGAGCGGTGTTAGTTGATCTGTCAGCGCTAGGACGTTTCACTATTTGTATCACTGCGCAATCTGAGTTTGCGTCAATCGGTGATTTAGTATTTTCACTTAAGTGACTCTTTATGCAGTTAACATCATCGACATGCTAAGAAAGTGGAAACAAGTGACAGTGTTTCTGAATAAATCAACAAATAATTTAGTTCTGCTATCTACATTGAATAATTTAGTATTCAACGAATAGGCTATTTCACTCACGACTGATCAAAATAACTGTTGCTCAAAGATGCGCGACGTTAAATCGTATCTCTGTCAATATTTGTTCTGACATAAAAGTTATTCAGTAAAGCAATATCACGTGCAGCTGTGCTTTTGGTCTGAATGACAACAGGGCTGTGATTACAGCAACGCGATACATAAAAGATAGGCTATGGAGTATTGAGGAATAGACTGAGTACAGGTGGTTTTAGGGTTGGTGAGGGATAATGTCCCCTGAAACCAACGCAGAATTTGTAATGGTTTTCCTCGTTATAATGGGAATTGTAGCCAGTGTTGTGCAAGTTACTTCCAAACTGTAATACATTATAGATTACTTGTTACTGTTATTTAAAAGTAATTCCTTACCTTACAATATTACTGTCTCAGAATTGTAATGCGTTACATGACTCCTGTATTACTTTTGAGTTACTTTCACCAAAATACAAACTACCAAAATAACTACAGAAGTAGAACTTAAGGTAACACTTTATTTTAGGGTCTCTTAACTAGTTGCTTATTAGCATGCATATTACTAGAATATTAGCCATTTATTAGCAGTAATTAAGCACATATTAATGCTTTATTCTACATGACCTAATTCTATATCCCTAATCCTACCCAATACCTAAACTTAACAACTACCTTACTAGTGTTGTAACGCATGCATTACTGAACATGTACCGAGTAAAATATTACTGAAAATTGATTAGTAATGCCTTACACTACTGCGTTACAGCAAAAAGTAATCCGTTACTGTAATGCATTACTTTTGTAACGCGTTACTCCCAACACTGATTGTAGCCTACTGGTTTTATTGGAAACTGTAATAGCCTAGTGCCTGTTGGTCTCTTGGTAATTGGTCGCATTCTATTGGTGGCTCGTTAAAACAACTAAATCCCAATTAAATATGTCCCAAAACACATTACAAACCATTTCTAATGGGTTTAATGGTTAAAATTTAATGGTTTGTAATGTATGGAAACCATTAGAATTTCTGTGATGATTTCTATTGTTTTTTTTTCAGCATGCCATAGCCTAATTTTGACAGAATAATGAGTACATTTTATAAAATGATGTATCTGAGTTAAGAATATTCTAGAGACCCTCTCTGTTTCACTTCAAATAGAAACAATGAATGCTTTTAAACACTAATGGAAGATAAAATGTTTATCCCATATCTCGAATCAGTGGTTTCACTTTTCCTCAACTGTAAAATGAAGATTACACATCTAAACACGGTCTCAATCTGACATTAATTTCCAGAGTTGTTAGACCTGCAAGTGCAACTAGCCTACATCCGTGTGTTTTTTTTTGTGTTCTTATGGGGGCTCAATAATAATCTTGTCAAAGGGGTTTTAAAAAAACACACTTTATTTTTACATGGATTACCACCCACAGGATCTTGACAGATTTGGCACTTGCATCGGAGCTCAGTTAACCTCAGGGCATTTATGTGACACAGCTCTAATTGGTTTTGTACAAAACTGTGCCATGATGCCATCTTCAAAGAATACAGCAGTTAACTGAGGATACTCAAAATCTTTTGCCAAACTCTACAGAATCTAGGGCCACTAAGGCTTTCAGTCCTGATAGGTTCTGATGATGAAATACAATAAAATATACACCAAATTTGATAGAGAATAGGAATGAAATACGGCAAATTGAGAGTGAATGGATGGATTGGGGATGGGTGGCACAAATGCTTCATGTTTTATCAGGTTCACAAATTTTGTCTCTTTGTAAATGTATTCTGTTACTGTACTGCAGAATATTCGTTTAAAATATCGAAAATATTTTAAAAGAATAATATTAAGCTAATTGTAATCACACGAGCTAAGCTGTTTTGAGTTTTGTGTGTTACTATGACCTCTTCTGGTCATTTTATGTCGCTACAACTAACTCATACTTTCAATGTTCGCATGCAGGACATTTTAGCAGGAATTTAATTAAATCTGGGGTAGTGGTTTGGGATATGGAGGATGAAACCTATGGAGGACGAAACCTGCAAAAACAATAAATAAATAAATAAATGCACAAGTAAATAGATAAATGTGTGCATAAATACACGTATTCTTGTTTAAATACATAAATAAATAATTAAACGTGATGAAAGTAGGCAAATAAATAAAATAAATTGGTGGGCAAATGGAAAATGTTTAAGGAAATGCTAAACTCATCCTATTTATTTTCCTTTGATCACTCATTTATTTCTGAATGTAGTTCCGCATTTTTTCCCCCCTCTGCGCAACATGCTAATGAGAGGGTGTCAATTATGCAAGAGTAGGCGGATCGTGTGTGACCCGCTGGAGCGTTTGCCTGCGCATGCGTATTAACTTCATCAGTCAAGGGGACTGATTATTATCTTACACTTTTTCATAGGGCTTAGTTTTGTAGTTATAATCATGAGAGAGCTAAATCATCAAATATTTTAAGTGGCCAATGTAGAATATTAATGCTTACATAGCTCTTAATTGCAATACTGAACCGTTATTTGCTTAATAAACATACTTTTGTCACCTGTATTTTCTGTTCTGATAACTAATGGGAAAAAACGGTCTGTTCCTCGATTAAACCACTTCATACCAGTCATCTCACAATGACCATGGGATACTGATATTACAGTTGTCTCTAGCTGGAGACTCAATCGGGTTACAAAAAATGACGTCAGGAAACGACACTGGCCATCTCTTTGGGTCGTTTGTAAAGTCACAGATACTGTACGGACAATACAGCTCAGTTTTTTATGTATCTTGCTCTGTTAAACGGAAAAAAGTGACTTTATGTAGGCCATACTGGATTTACACCATGCATCTCCTGTCAGCGGGAAAGCCGCGCCCCCAGCTATCACATGACCCCGACCAAGTCCATAATTAACACCCTCTCATTAGCATGTTGATCACAGAGGAAAAATAAATGTGGAACTACATTCAGAAATAAATGAGTGATCAAAGGAAAATAAATAGGATGAGTTTAGCATTTCCTTAAACATTTTCCATTTGCCCACCAATTTATTTGCCTACTTTAATCACGTTTAATTATGTATTTATGTATTTAAACAAGAATTTGTGTATTTATACAGACATTTATTTATTTATTTGCATATTTATTTATTTGTGTATTTATTTATTTATTTATTGTTTTTGCAGGTTTCGTCCTCCATACTATTCATCATACAGCAACAAAATCATTGTAGTATAGGAAATTATTTTAGTTAAAAAAGGAGAGAAATAAGAGGAGAGAAATAAAAAAATGAGTCAAACATGATAAATCCATTGAATCAGTTTAATGTCTTACATCACATATTACCTAATATAATTGACTATGAAGTTAATGCTATACATGTATTGAGTCATTTCCATCTTATATGATTTCTATCTGAAGTCTAAACTACGCATTACTCTAAAATAAGTGGTTGATGATTCATAAATATGCTTTACATTTCCACAGGTCCTTTAGACACAACATCAGGAAGTCCAACACAAACATACATCTGAATATGAGATTGTATTTATATAGGATATATTATGCAAATAACATTTACTAAACTTCAGCTTATAATGCTTCAGAGTGAATAAGAAGTACAGTGAGATTTTATTCAACATTTTTTTTTTTTTACGTGCAAGCCACTTTCCTCATTACTATTATTGTAATTTTCATAAACTGAATTTTCTCTTCAGACTCTCTGGCATTATTTGTAATGGAATTTCTTTGTCATTCCTAAAGGAGATATAAAATAAATGTCTTTAATACTTGCAGTTTCATTTTTTAATATGTAATGACATGTGACATATGAAAGCATAGATAATGCATTGCCTGAATTATATTTGTTCTTAAATCAAAGTACACAGCACAGTAGCATTTCTAGCAAACATGCTTCTGTTACATACGTTGTCATTCTCTCAAGCTTTGACTCTGTGTTAACACTCCTCTTCTTCATCACGTACAGTAGCATAACGTCACAGATGTAAGAACCCTTGGGGATAAACAAACTTGGTATATAGATTGAAATAGATGATGTATGATGTATGTATCTGAATATTTACATACTTACAGCACCCATTAAAGTCAGAGCAGAGGCTATGTTGACAATCGTAGGAATAATACAAAATTTTCTTGCCTGGAAAAGACTCATATATACATGTATTAAAAGCATGCATTATATCACTTGTGCATTCATGTCTTTAGCATTTGAGTCACATACCATTCCAAACACCATGATTTCCAAATGAATTCCAAAAACTCTGTAAAATGTTCTTTGCTTCTGTCCTGCAGTAGTGAAATAGCGAGCAAATCTGAGAAGACAATTAATAGCAATACTGAGCATAACAACATTCTGTCACAATATGCTGGAGCACAGGAACGAGGAAACGAGGAGACATGGAGATTTCACAAAACGAGAGTCTTTAATGATCCAATAGGGAGACACAGAGCACAAGGATGACATTTACAACGCGTAGACCCAACAGAGGAGAAATGCACAGACAAGAACTTATAAACACAGGACAATTACCAAACACAGGTGCACAGAATGACTAATTAACTAAATGAGGACAGGAACATGACCAAATAAGGCAGTGGTTCCCAAACTTTTTCAGCCGACCCCCTTTTGTAGATAAAAATATTTTCAGGACCCCCCTCCTCCTCCCCCCCCCTTTTTTATTTTTTAAAGAAAGTCTCTTATGCTCACCAAGGCTGCATTTATTTATTAAAAATACAGTAAACACTGTAATATTGTGAAATGTGTCAATTTAAAATATCTATGAATGTTTGAACATATACTGTACTCCTGTGATCAAAGCTGAATTTTCAGCATCATTACTCCAGTCTTCAGTGTCACATGATCCTTCAGAAATGATTAAAATATGCTAATTTGCTGCTCAGTAACATTTCCGATTATTTTAATGCTCAAAACAGTTGCTGCTTCATATTTTTGAGGAAACAATTTTTTCATGATTCTCTTATGAATATACATGCACCTTCTCAGACATGACCTTGATTGCAAAATTATATATATGATTTGAAATATTGTGATTAAAGTACTGCTTAACTAGCCTGCTTGCCGTCTTAACTTGTTCGGCTTCAAATACCCACCTTTGAACTGGTGAATCTAAGGACGAGATATGCCTAGTCATATTTTCTTGTCTTTTCACCACACTGGACGCACAAAGTGAACATTACAAATCCAATGGTCCTTTATGTAAGAGCGCTGGAGATCGTCAGAAATAGAACGGGGCATCAGTTTACTGTCATGAATTTGTTGCGTCGCGCCGCATCCACTGATAGAACATCACTGGGTTCTATTTTGCTTTTGTCACGTTGTTTGGGTATTTGTGAATATTAAGTATATTCATAATCTGCTTTATATTTACCTGGCACTGTCAGTATTTTCACAAATTTGTAACTTACATGCTTAGAGCAGAACCATGCATCGTTCATTTATATTTCTACATGGCTCTCTGCAATACAACTCTGATTCTTCAATCGCACCATCTAGTGGTCTGTTATTGATACAACCACAACTGCTACAACTGATAACGGAACGCTCAAGCGGGTACTGCAAGTCATGATGAGGTAATTAAAATAAGTCAAATTAATATTTTGCGTTCAATTATTTACTTATCAGGCAATGATAAGCGGGAAAATTACGCAGTGTAGTCTTTATCACACTGCGGAGGTTTCTTTTGCAAAATAATCTGCTGAATGTACATTATCCCTCGGCCTTGCCGCGCCCCCTTGTCATAGCTTCGCGCCCCCCAGTTTGGGAACCACTGAAATGAGGGAACACAGGAACAGAAACAGGGGCAAAACATAACAAAACAGGTCCATGATCCTGACACATTCCATGTCAAATGAAACAAATTTTGGAAACTTCCCTTGCTCAAATTTGTAATTTTGTTAATATTTTTTTCTGAAGAAAGACAAACATAAATTGAGATGAAATCCTAACTATTCAAAGCCATTCATGAATATTAGAGTAATCCACAATTTTGTAAAGGGGGTCAAAATGACTATTTTCACCAGAGATTTGGTGCCAAATTACAGGGAGAAAAAGATTATTTTGGCATGCACATAGGTACATTCTATGCAGGCTGTGAATCTTTGGGTAGACAGCGAATCGATTTGATTCATTTTTTTCCCTAATGGCAATTTTATGATTGTTTTATATACTACAAACAATTATTTCAACTTTATGCACAGAATTAGGTAGAAAATATACTTTATAGTTTCTGTACTGTAATAAATAATATGTCAATTAGCACTGCATCATTCATAAATTATATTTATTTATTGTGTTTATCGTCTTAACGTTTCATCAGTTCATTCTGCTTTTTATTCAGCTTAGCTGCAGCGATAGATACCTTTGTCCATATTAGGCATTTCCTAGCACGTCTTAAGTTTGTTGAGCGCGAGATCAGTGTGAAAACTTCTTTATCTCATTTTCATAAAATAAAATGCTATAGTATGTAACTTTTCCTCTCCATCGGCGAATGATGATCCTGAAAGAAAACGCGTCCGATGTCTCTTTGCTATAGCAACAAACGCTACTCTCATGCATCTGATTATCAGACAAACCTCGCGCTCTTATTTCAAGGTTGTTGTTAATTGATTAGATTCTTAGCATTTTATATCGATTACTGTCCGAAATCGGCGATTCACGATTCAAAAATCATGTTTCAAGATCGATGCATATGCATCATCAGGGTTTGTAATCGATGCATTGATAAAACGGGTGAATCGTTACACCCCTATATGCAACTGTTTTGATAGCGGGAAACAAGATACATTTCTAGTTTAAACGCAATGCAGAATGGCCCACATGTATTTTTTGATCACTGAAAACGTACAATTTAACAATTTACTCATGGAGCCACATTGCGATCCCCATATCACGATGCAATTTCCTCCACCCTCCACCTGGCTCTTACCCACCTAGAAAATAAAGACTCCTATGTTAGAATTCTGTTCATCGACTTCAGCTCAGCATTCAACACAATAATCCCACAACAATTCATCAACAAACTAAACCTTCTGGGCCTAAACACCTTCCTCTGTAATTGGATCCTGGACTTTCTAACTGGAAGACCTCAGTCAGTCCATGTTGGCCGCAATACCTCCAGCACTACCACACCGAGCACAGGTGCTCCACAGGGCTGTGTGCTCAGCCCGCTGCTCTTCACACTGCTGACCCACGACTGCACTGCCAAGTTCAGCTCCAACCACATCATCAAGTTTGCTGATGACACAACTGTGGTAGGTGTCATCAGCAACAATGATGAAATACCCTACAGAGAGGAAGTGGCCCTGTCCCTCTATGTGAGTAAGACAAAGGAGGTTGTGATGGACTTCAGGAGGAACTCTTTTGACCACCCCCCACTGACCATCGACAGCTCGACTGTGGAGAGAGTCAGCAGCACAAAATTCCTTGGAGTGGACATAACAGAAGACCTCACCTGGACCACCAACAATATATCACTCTCCAAGAAGGCGCAACAGCGGCTCCACTTCCTGCGCCGACTGAAAAGAGCAAGTCTCCCTCCACCCATCCTCACTACATTCTATAGGGGCACCATTGAGAGTGTGCTGACCAGCTGCATCACTGTCTGGTACGGGAACTGCAGTGCTGCTGACAGCAAGATCCTACAGCGGACAGTGAACACAGCTGCAAATATCATCGGTGCCCCTCTGAATCAGAACCCGCTCTGCAAGACTGCTCAAAAGCTTTTTACCCCAGGCTGTGAGAGCCCTCAATTCCAATCACCTCACCCCCCTCTGAAACCCCATCCACAACCCTACCTCCTAAAACCAAGATCCTCTTGACTTGATTTGACTTAAAAAAGATTACATGAGAAACAAAATCTAAAAGGACATCATGATATCTTTAATACTTTTTGAGAAATGTGCCCCCCCACAAACATTTTTTAACTATCACCATTGGCATACAATGCAACACGGATTGAAGTCAACAAATTTTACTTATTGACCTACCAATAAATAAATAAAAACACCGTAACCTCCCCACTATAACTTGGCTCAGAATCTCAGGTGAAAATCATCACTTTGACCCCCTTCTATAAAACAGTGGATTACGCAATCAATATTCATTCATGGCATTTCGTATTTTGGCTTTCTTCTTCATTTATGTATTTTTTTCACCAGAAAAAAAGACCAAAATCAAATGGGACCTCAACTGTGACCTCAGAAAATGACACAAAATGACTCAACTTAAAAAAAGAAAAAAGAAAATAAAAAAAGTGGACCCGGATTGATTTTGACTAGTAAAAGAGCAGTGTGAATGTACCTGAAGTCAAATCCGATTTTTTCTGACAATTTGCCCAGACGTACAAAGCTGTAGTGAGGACGACATTCTGAGTCTACATCAAGGTCACAGAGCCACTCAATCAGAACCCCAATTGAACCACCCTGGCATTATAATATCAAAATAATAGATTCAGTGTAATAAGCAAATGTCTATTAAATTAAATGTAGCCTCACATTAAAACTACATTCACTATTCTCACCTTTAGAGCCATTTCTTCAAACTTATTTCCAGTTTTGTTCACAATATCTCCCAGGCGAAATATAGGGCAGTACGGGAAAACAGTTTCATCATACAAGCAGTTTTTTAAATACAATGATCTGTTTTCCTTCGGAACATTTGATCTGAGAAGGAAAACAGCATTTGAGATAATTGAGTGGTAATACAGTAAATAGTTTTATATAGTAAAGTTTTGTGTGCTTTTTAATAAACATAAAAGCAGACAGGGTTTACACTCATTACCAATGGATGCATCAGAGTGAGTTTCTTACGTTGAGAAGTTGAACTGGGAAAATCTGATGAAGTTTCTTATGTACAAAGTGAAGTTTTCAGCTTCTCTCACAATGGTGGCTGGGCTAAAAAAAATATGTCTCATGGTGACCTTACTTTTTATTTTAAACTTGATATTGACAATGACTTTATTAATTGCATACACTGTCTGGGATGAACATTGTAACTGTACTTTAAAGAGTGAGAGAAAATATTCTTACTGTGGATCCCTGTGTATTTCAGTGGGACACCAGCCATATATTTCACAAGTGCCATTGTGTGTTTCCAAACAAATGCCAGTTTTAATTCCTAAAGAGAATGAAACCATTTAGTAGGCTTTTGCATATTTGTAAACAGCAAAATTGCGGATGGAAAATATTTATTATGCAGCATGGCTTATTATGCTAGCATTTTACATTAACTGATTATCAGCTTACTTTGCGGGAAAAAAAAATTAAGCCGTTTTAAATCATACCGTTTCCAGCCCTAACAGCCTCTCCCACTGTGCAATCTTCATCCTTAGAGCATGTGTTATTCGGTACTTTTGGGTTCTAAAAAAAAAAAAAAAAAGATGCCATTGGATAAGAATTTAAAAAGGTAATTCTGAGGTAAAAATGGTAATTGTGAGATATAAACAAAGCTGTGTACCTACAAAATTGTAGTCTATTACTGATTACAGACTACATTATGAAAATTGTAGTTAGTAACATAATCTAGGTTACTCGTTTTAGGTAATGTATACTTTTTAGATTACTTTTTTTTTTTTTTATCTAACTTGTTTTAAAATTACAATTAAACATACCATACTGATATACAAAAGCAAAGAGAAAGAAAATATATTAAATTTTTTGATGTCAACATAATTCAATTTTATGAAACCAGGATTTCCCAAACTGGGCTTAATTCAAGGACTGCAGTGGGCTTGTGAGTTGTTAAAAAGCTAATTTATTAAATAATGAAAATGTAAAATAAATTATTTAAAGATTTGAACTCTAAAAATATAAATATTTAATTTGTTTACTTGCATTCAATGCAACCATTTAGCGACACTGAACTGTAAACATGCAAATGTTTTGTTAAATTATTGAAATATTACAATAAAAATACAATAAACAGCTGGTAGGGACTACAACGAGCTACTTCCTGGGTTAGTGACATCACAAACCCTGAAATTTATATAAACCCTGCCCCCAGAAACACTCAGTAGGGGTCATGCTGGGCTGCTATAGAGAAGAGGAAGAGTTGTTGTATTTTTTTATTTGTATTTTTTTTAATTTAAGCCCTTATTTTGGAAGACTTGTTGTAGTAGAGTGTTGTTAGCTCCGCTAGCCATTTAGCAAAATGCAAATTCATCCGTCAAATGCCTACAAACACATATATAAGTTATTTTTCATCCCACCAGCAAACTCCAAATGTTGGTGTTTATATGATCAGTGTAAACTATTCCTGGATTATAGCATTTATGCTCGTTTAGCTACATGCACGCTAAATATGGTTCTGCGTTTAATTTGGCCACTGTAGTAAAGCCATGGTTAGTCTTTGTAATGGGCTCGTAGTTCTGAAGACAGATATTTGGCTACACTTGTTCTAACGTACAAAACTAACGGTGCACTAGCAATCACTATAGATCCACAGTCTGTAATCAAATAATCCCTTCGAGGAAAGTAGTAAACTTTAGAACCAAAGCTTTAGTAAGGATAAAACCGTATATCAAAGATAACAAACAGCAGTAGCATTTACAAATAACAGCGTATCTAAAAAATATGAGACAACTACAAAAAACATACTATTCTGAAACATCTTATAAGAGTCGTGCTTGCATATTTTCTGCTTGATCCTCTTCAATAATATCTATCTCTGAGTCTGACTCGGGCTCAAATTGATAAGGCAATATTGAAGCCATTGTTTATAATACACTGGCAGTGCATTCCAAACGGGATATATCGCCCTCCGAAGGGCACTTCGGAGCAAAAACAAACATGGCCGCCATATTGAAGGGTCATTCCAAACCAAAGTGCTCATAACTGGCCACTTCAAAGGGCCCTTTGAAATTAAGGATTTCGAAGGGTACAACTGATGGACACTTCGATCCCCCATGATCCTTTGCACTGATTTTTTCCATGATGACGGCGCCTCTATATGGGCATGGGATGATAATGCAGAAGGGCACTTCAAGGAACAGTTGTTTGGTCCCCTACACCCTGCAACCCTTCAAAGCTTTCACTCCGGAGGGTAAACCCTTTGAAGGAAATAGGGCATAGGGATGAGCCTTTCCAAATGGAACGCAGGGCGGGAGCACATGCAACTACCCGTTATGGTAAGAGGCGTGACGTCTCCAAACAAGGAGCACTATAGCTGGTTAGCGAATTACAATACACTTAGCCAGCTAACCAATCTGAGCATTCACGGTATTAGATCCAAAGGGTGCTTCTACTAAATACTGAGCAAAGGGTCTGAATACTTAGGACCATGTGATATTTCAGTTTTTCTTTTTTAATAAATCTGCAAAAATGTCAACAATTCTGTGTTTTTCTGTCAATATAGGGTGCTGTGTGTACATTAATGAGGAAAAAAAATTAACTTAAATGATTTTAGCAAGTGGCTGCAATATAACAAAGAGTGAAAAATGTAAGGGGGTCTGAATACTTTCCGTACCCACTGTACATAGATTCCTCATTAGCGACTGTTTCTATGGGCCGCTATATGTAAACCGTCCGCCAAATTTAGCGGTCAACTTGACGTCATTCACCATAGTACCGTTCCAAGATGGTGGCCGCATCTACGTGCCTGGAGCATCTATACATATCTATGGTTCACGCCATGTTGTAATTACCGTAATTCCGAGATGAAAACAGGTGACATTCTACTCGGAGCTGAATTATGTGTTTCTATGGCAACACCATCAATGCCAAAGCCCTCACATGCTCCAAAACTTGTAATTACAACTTGTAAACTCTTAATGTTCTGAGAGTTACGACTTGGACCAGTGACAGCTGTACCACCTGACCGCCGCCAGATTCATTTAGGCACTACTAATGCCGAGTTCACACTGCACGATTTTCAAAGTAGTCGGATCACCATTGTTTTCACACTGCACGACTATCTGGGGTAGCATTCAGTTGCTGTTGTGTTCACATTGCACGATGGATCGGCGACAGGAGGTTACACACGGCATGACTTTACCATTGGAAGAATCGCCGACTACTCTGTCTGGTCCGCAAACTACTTTTCATATAACTCCTCCCCGAACTTCCCGCTGCCCTGTATCTTGCTCTCTCATTGGCTGTAGACCATTGCTGACGTATTTTTCAGTCAGAACTCATTTCACACAGCAGTATTTTGAATGGTAGACAGGTCCAGATATTTAGCATGCCAAATATTTCACGGCCGTTGACGATTCCCTCAGATCGTGTCTTTGATAATTCACATTGCGTGATTTTTACTTACATGAACGAGCACCGATTTGCCTCAGATTTTGGGCATTTGTCTGTGATTTCGCAAAACCTGTCAGCGAGTGAAAATCAGGGGTTAAGAACATGGAAAGCTATGAGTAAAATGTCACGTGTTGTCATCTCAGAATTACGGTAATTACAACATGGCGTGAATGCAGCATCATGAGCCCATTGCGAATTTCTGAGGGAGGATCCAGGAAGTCAACAAACCATTTTTACGAGAATGGAAAACGGTGTAGAATAAAGGTAAAATGTGTAAAAAATAATGCAATTTTTTTTTAACAAAGCATGAACACAATACAGTGCACCCCATTAAACACAGTCAAGCCTTCGAAAAAGCCAGTAGACCACCCCTTTAAAGGGTTAGTTCACCCAAAAATAAAAACATTTGCCCATGCTTTACACTCTTAAAAATAAAGGTACTTCACAATGCCATAGAAGAACCTTTTTGTCTAAATGGTTCCATAAAGAACCTTTAACATCTGAAGAACCTTTCTGTTTCACAAAAGGTTCTTTGTGGTGAAAGAAGGTTCTTCAGATTATAAAAAGGTAAGAAAGAGATGGTTCTTTAAAGAACCTTTGACTGAATGCTTCTTTGTGGAACCAAAAATGGTTCTTCTATGGCATCGCTTGAAGAATCTTTTGAAGCACCTTTATTTTTAAGAGTGTACTTACCCTCAAGACATGACTTTCTTCTTTTAGACGAATCAGATGTTTTAAATATGGATATTTTTCTTACAAAAACACATCACAACACAGTTTCGCTACAGAAGGTCTTTATTCACCCCCGGAGCCATGTGGAGCACTTTTTTATTATGGATGGATGTGCTTTATATGACTTCTTTTGGGCTGTTGAAAAAAACACCCGCCAATTGCCATTATAAAGCTTGGAAGACCAAGGACAATTTTAAAATTTAACTGGATTGGATTCATCCAAAAGAAGAAAGTCATATACACTTAGGATGCCTTGAGGGTGAGTAGATGCTCATTTTCATTTTTGGGTGAACTAACCCTTTAAGCAGCAGCAATATAAGACATTTTCATATGAGATTAAACTACATATCATTGTAAAAACTGCTATATAGCCTATGACAAAATAATTTAAATGTAATTGTTTTGGCCAAGTTGTGCAGCCCTATATATAAATAATTTTAAAATAGCAAACGTTTATAAAATTATATATAATTAAATTTTTTTTAAAATTTAATTAAAATTGTGTGTGTGTGTGTGTATGTATTGTTAGCTCCAAGCGCCTGTTCAATCAACACCCAGTTAGTTCTGTAGTTCTGTCTCTAAATGCCCTGCGTCTTGTGTTTTTAAACACAAAAACAATTTCTATATGAATGGCCCCTGAGACTCACAACACATAAGAGATGGTGGTATGGAAATCGACTCATAAACCAGCAAGCCTATAAAAACTATTAAATCTACCTGATAATGTGGAAGTGAAAGCACTGTAGTGTTTCACTATCAGTACATACGAATAACCACAGTGCTCTCACACGCTCTTACACTAATGGCCTGAATGGAACATGACAGATACCAAGCTGATTGTAATCAGCAACTAATGCAACAATATCAAACAGTTATATGACTTTTCTTAAAGAATATGTCACTGAATAAAAAACAAATATGTTTTATTTTGTATATAAATGTTTTTAGAGAACAGCAGATAAGTTAAATGTTATTGAAAGTGCAGATGTGAGATGTTGATTGTCAAAGTTTTAATAAATGGTAAAGAGAAAATTTATTTTCTTACCTCTGAACAGTTGCCTAATTTTTGGTTTGGTGTCTCGATGAAATTGGTTGCTATAGAAAGAAAAGTCTCACCCTGGAAAAAAATTTTACCAAAAGACTTATTATTGAAGCAAATTAATGATAAAGCAAATCATTATGAATATGATTGACCAGAAACTAATCAGAACTAACTCAAACTTTTTTGACTACGGTTTGGTTCGACTCACCTGGTTGGGGAAAACATAGTCCTCTGGTCCCCACAAATTTGAATCTGTTGTGTTGACACGTGCAATTCCTTTAACTTTAGTTACCACAGAACTCTCGAGAGTATCATCTTTTACCTGGTATCCTTTGTTTTTCAAAAATACCCATCTGTTGAGGTAAAATATGTTTAAATATTTGCCATCAAACCAGTAGAAGCTAATTTTTTTTTACCTGTTTCACAGCTGGAATCTTCACATAAGATGATTTTACCTGAAGCTCAAGCTAAACTTTTGATTGTGGTTAGACTAAAATTAATTATAGCTCTTACCCAATGAGATATCCCACGATAGTGAGTTGAAATATTCTGTACAGAAGTCCGATTTTCTTATTTTGCGTGCCCACATATCTGACTGTTGTATATTCAAAGAGATGCAGTAATCGATTTTGTTTGTTCTGCCAAGCCATTCCTGCTCCTGCTGCTGGAGACGTGCTCAGGATGTGCTCCTATATGTGATATGGGATGTGCCCTGCATGCCTAAGAGACACACTGTCATGTGCATCACGTCATCTTGCAATTTACATGCCCTCCATACGCTTATGCATTGACTTTCTTGTTTAGAATGTAAATTCATTAACCCATGTCCATTAGAGCTATTAAACTTGGCTTGAACAATTGCTCAGTTTTAGCAGATTTAACTAAATCGTTGTTTACATATTGTAGATGTCATATTTTTAATACATATTTGGTTTAGTAAAACTAGTTTTAAAAATACTATAACTGTATATATATATATATATATATATATATATATATCAGTGCTGTCAAATTATTAATCATGATTAATCGCATCCAAAAGAAGTTTTTGTTTTCATAATATATGTTTGTGTACTGTGTATATTTATTATGTATATGTAAAGACACACATACAGCATATGTTTTTAAAACATTTACATGTATATATTTATATTCATATAATTTATATTAAATATAAATATATTTAATATATAAACATAACATATTTTTCTTAAATATATACATGCATGTGTGTGCATTTATATATACATAATAAATATACACAGTACACAAACATATATTATGAAAACAAAAACTTCTTTTGGATGCGATTAATCATGATTAATAATTTGACAGCACTGATATATATATATATATCAGTGCTGTCAAATTATTAATCATGATTAATAATTTGACAGCACTGATATATATATATATATCAGTGCTGTCAAATTATTAATCATGATTAATAATTTGACAGCACTGATATATATATATATATCAGTGCTGTCAAATTATTAATCATGATTAATAATTTGACAGCACTGATATATATATATATATTCTCTCTCTCTATCTATCTATATTATTGTTTATGCATATATTAAATATATAATAAAATATGAATAAACAATATGTAATAATCTAGAAATAATATTTCAATTATAATATATGTGTTCAAAATGCTCAGTTGTGGTGCAACTATTATATCCAGACTTTTATTTTAAAATAGTCCACTCTTATTTTGGAAAAAGTACAAGCGCATTTACAGTCTATGATTTCTTCACACTTCACTCACTGCTGTTAGCGTACAGTCAGCTGACTTCATACAAAGATCAGTCTGCTTTCTGTAGCTCGAGTTGGACTTGGTCACTGAACAACTGGTTCCCAGTAAACACTAAATAGTAAATAAATCATGACTAAATACGAGGACGTTGCTGTTCACGGCTACGAGGAATTTTGTAAAGCTGTGTCTGAAAGAAAAGGAAAAGACATATTCGCTTACTTCTCTGGAGATAAAGACGACCAGGGCAAGAGCTGGTGTCCAGACTGTGTGAAAGGTATATTAACATTATACAGTAGCTGTGCTGTTTCAAAAATTCAAAACTAGAAGAGTTTTTCCTTTTTTTCCCCTCATGCAGCACAGCCAGTGGTCAGAGGAGAGCTGTCTCATCTGCCGGAGGGATCTGTCTTCATTTACTGCCAAGTAGGAGATAGACCTTAGTAAGTTTACAAGACATTCTTCCAATTACATTGGCAAACAGAGAGAATTAATGTATGTTGCAGCATATAGTATACAAGATAGTGCTTAGATTAAAGTTATAGTTCACTCAAAATTAAAATGAGCTGAAAATGTACTCACTGTCATGCCATCCAAGATGTAGATGAGTTTGTTTCTTCATCAGAACAGATTTGGACAAATTTAGCATGATGTCAGTAGCTCACCGGTGGATCCTTTTGCAGTGAATGGGTGCCGTCAGAATGAGAGTCCAAACAGCTGATAAAAACCTCTACAAGTAATCGACACGACTCCAGTCTGTCAGTTAAAATCTTGTGAAGCGAAACCTGCTTGTTTATTAAGAAACTAATTCATCGTTAAGATGTTTTTAAGTTCACATTGCTTCTTACTAAAATATGAGTCCTCTATCCATAATATTGCTTCCTCCTGTGAAAAAGTCGTTCCCTTGAATCAGGAGAGAAATATGCACAGATCAAGCAGTGAAAACAGTTATAAACAAATATGTCGGTGGATTTTTATGTGAGAGAACAAGAAGCATTGCCTTTTTCACTGCATGATGGAGGAAGTGTTATTATAGATTGTCGCAGCTTTTTGCTTCACAAGATGTAAGTTGATGGACTGGAGTGGTGTGGATTACTTGTGGATTATTGTGATGTTTTCATCAGCTGTTTGGACTCTCATTCTGACGGCACCCATTCACTGCAGAAGATCCATTGGTGAGCAAGTGATGTAATGCTAAATTTCTCTAAATCTGCTCTGATGATCAAACAAACTCATCCGGATTAGTTTTAATTTTTTAATTTTTGACTTGTTTGGTTTGGCTAAGAGTTAATATCTAATTGTTGTTCTTGCCAGCTGGAAGGACCCAAATAATGACTTTAAGAAGAATCTGAAGCTGAATGGAGTACCCACACTACTGCGCTATGGCACGGTAAAGATCTGTAAAAGTTCTTTGATAAGTGAATTTAACACTTTAAATTTGTATGCGTCTTGCAAATGTACTATGTTTGTCTGTTTTAAGCCCCAGAAGCTGGTTGAAGAGGAGTGTTTTAAAGCAGACCTGGTTCGAATGTTGTTCACAGAGGATTAATGTCCTGCGATGTACTGCTTGAAGACAACCACATTTTAAACATTCTCTTTGAAGGATTGACACAGTTTTTCTACTTTTGTCATTTTTAATCTATGCTTCTGCCCTGCAATGTTCAGCTAAACAAATTGTGGCCTGGAATTATGTTGTGGTGATTTGTACAAGTCTGGAAAGCATTTGTGCAAATAAAACTGTGTATACTGGAAGATTTCATTTGTAACATCATCAGACATTTCAAGCTTATTTTTTTAAATGATATTCAAAAAAGGGACTTTACTACACTTTCAAGTCAACCTTGATAAAGGGATAGTTCACCCAAAAATTGTAATTCTATCATCAATTACTCACCCTCAAGTTGTTCCAAACCTGTATGAATTTCTTTCGGCTGTTGGATGCAAAATAAGATATTTTGAAGAATGTTTGTAACCAAACAGTTGACGGTAGCCATTGACTTCCATAGTAGGATTATCAAGCAATACAGTTATAGGTGTTTATCATACAGAATCTGGTTGCAATTTTCCTGTGCACCATTAATTTTTTTATTAAAGTAGTGCAGTTTTTACCGTACCGTTGTTTTTCTTTTGCTTTTAGTGGTAATTGAAATGAACGGGATGCATGAGGTAATCACTGTAACTCAGACACCACTTTCTCCTTAAATGAAAGGAGTGAATACTTACCCAAAAACATGACATGTACTGATACTGTTACTCTGAGAATCCGTCTATACATTCATCTATACAAAAAAGAAAAAAAGTATAATTTTATGCAGAGATAGAGACGTGGTTCGACTGTGAATCGCTTGACATCCCTGTGGACCGAGTACGCCGAGGTGCAATTGCACCATCTCGCCACTAGATGTCGCGACAGTCTCGCAGCGGGAGTCGGCCGGCGCTGTTGCTGAGGGCCGCTCTAAAACAGGAGCGCATTCCTCAACACCGCGCACAGTGGAGGCACACGACGGCTGCTGTCTCTCGAACCGCGGGACTGCCAAACTGGGCACCAGGGCCTGCGGATATCCATCGAGCACTTTGGGTTTACCTTAAAACCGCTCCAATAAGCCAAGAAAACCAAGCGCAGTCCGCTTCGAGGGCTCAGCAGCGATGTCGGAGTTTCTGGTGAATCTGCTCGGAGAGCGGCTCGTCAACGGAGAGAAAGCCGAGGTGGATGTTCACTCGCTGGGCAGCAAACTGTCTCTGCTCGGGCTCTACTTCGGCTGCAGTTTAAACGGCCCATGCAAGCAGTTCAACGCGAGTCTGTGCGAGTTTTACAGCAAGTTTAAAAAATCGTCGGAGCACAAGGACAAATTGGAAATCGTCTTCATCTCTTCTGATCAGGACCAGAAACAGTGGCAGGACTTCTTACAGGAGATGCAATGGCCGGCGTTGCCTTTTAAAGACAGACACAAAAAGGTAAGATGAGCCAGTAGATTTAATAGATGACATAAGACTACACATTTTTTTTTTTTAAACAACAAATAGACTGAAAGTGTGTGCGTGTGTGCAGGTGTAAAATATTTAAAAAAAGTCTGATCTTCTGTTTTAAACCCTTTGACCTCTTATTTTCAGATGATAAATGACCAGTTTCATCACTTTATTCTTCTCAGTGGTTGGGAACTAATTAAACTAGCTTTTTTTTAGTAGTATAAAACTGTAGTCTTGCTTTCAAAACTGGATTTTTTTTTTTTTTACCTAATGCACTTTTATCCATCACTCCTATTAATCTAGATATACATCTTTTTTGGAAAACTTGGAAAAAGGGAAAATTCTTTTTTTTTTTTTTTGCCCATACTGCAGCTATTCTTACTAGTTGACATTTTAACTCTTTAAAATGTAAACTCAAGCATGTAGGTGTCCTGGTTAATGAGCGATTTTAAGTAAAAAAAAAACACAACTTTTTTTTAATGCTATGTACCATTCTCCCCTCTGAAAAACTATTTGCTGTTGATGTAACCAGGACTGGAAAATATTAGCTACTAATATCATGATACAGTGTTTTACAAGACATGGCATTACTTTATGTCCCTGAATATTTAAAAAGTGCCACAATATAGTGGTTCACCAGAATTGAAAATTCTGAAATTATTTGTGACGGCTCGTGAATTTTGACAGATTTCGGTGTACATTTTGCTCTGTTCCTCTCTATTATATGTGACCCTGGACCACAAAACCAGTCATAAAGGTCAATTTTCAGAAATTGAGATTTATACATCATCTGAAAGTTGAATAAATAAGCTTTCCATTGATGTATGGGTTGTTAGGATAGGACAATATTTGACAGAAAATCTGGAATCTGAGGGTGCAAAAAAATCTAAATATTGAGAAAAACACCTTTAAAGTTGTGAATGAAGTTGTGCAAATGAAGATCTTAGCAATGCATATGACTAATCAAAAATTAAGTTTTAATATATTTACAGTAGGAAATGTACAAAATATCTTCATGGAACATGATATTTACTTGATGTCCTAATGATTTTTGGCATAAAAGAAAAATCAATAATTTTGACCAATACAATGCATTTTTGGCTATTGCTACAAATATACCCCAGCGACTTAAGACTGGTTTTGTGCTCCAGGGTCACATATGGCTTTTTTTCAAGAAAGACTTGAAATATAGTGCAAAAGGCATTTGGAATACATTTATGGTGCTTTTATTTATTTTTTGTTGTCATTTACTTTGATTTTATGGAAAAAAGCAGCTTAAACATTCTTGTAAATATCTCTTTTTTTTTTGTTCTGCAGAGGAAAAGAAAGGTAACATCAAGAAATGATTAAGTAATTAATTAGTAATTAAGTGAATATGGTTACCCAAAATGGCTTCAGTTTTCACCTCTGACTGGACCCAGTGTTCGCAACCATCATCGGTGCACTTAATGTCTGGAGCCGGTGAGCCATATCATATTTATTTAGTGTTTTTTTCCAGTATGTTTTCTTGTGAAAGGGTCAGAGGAGTCGTGTTTGGTGGTGGGCGTCTGCAGGGTATCGAGGGAAGTCTGTGCTGGCACTGCCTTACAAGGACACTCACGTCAGGCGGAGGGGGGAAAGCTGCTCGTAAATCAATTACGGGTTTGGCCCAGTTACTGCCAAAGCCCAGATCTGTAAACGGAGAGCCGGCGGTCTCGCATCCGAGAGAAAGAGGAGGCGGCCTTCTGGAGCTCGGCTGTGCCACCGTCTCTGCAGATTCAGAGACAGCTGCTCTGAGCTTTTGAGATTGCTAAGGGCTGCTGTCATCAGGGTGTCAGTGATCTGATGAAAAGCCCTGCGCTCCCCGTTCATCACATATCCTAGAGCTGCACCCCTCCGCGAGGCTTTGATTTCAGGGCTGGCGGCTAGAGAAAAAGGGCCTTATCTGCAGGTGATAATACCGGCTTCGCTATCAGTGAACGGTACATTTGGCTCAGTGTGACGAACACAGATTGTCTCTCTGCTGAGTGACGCTGTGCGCTGATAATGCTGCTCGGTGGGAAACGCTGAGCTCGGGTTAATTGAGATGGACCTGTGAATGACACCCCAAATTCATTTCAGATTACAAAGATTGTGCTTTTTTTATTACATGATGAAAATTGTAACCAATAGGTGTGATCATATAAGGTCCTTGGTTTTTTAAAAACTGGTCATATTTTACACTTATAAAATGCAGGGGGGGTTTTTTAATCGCAAAGTATAATCCTAGTCAAGTTTCTTTTTAAAGTTTTTTTGTGAAACATTCACATTTTACCTGCCCGTTTTACTTTTGAGAAGCCAAACATTAATAATATGGCCAGTAATTATTTAATTTTTTTTTATGGCTGGTTTTAAAATTCCTAAAATTCCACTAAAAACAAAAATTAGTCAATTAAGTGAATTTTAGTATCACAACATTAGTTTTGGAAATTCAGTATGAGAAATAGATGTTTTAATCTAAAGATTATATTTAATAGGGTTTTCTTTAAGTTTAGATTTTTTTTTTAATTTAAGAGATTTTCATGCGCATCTCATCAATAAAGTAAACGCTTCTGGTGATTAGTAGTAAATCTCCAGCATTCAATTTTTTGCCCAGCCCTATATGGTACCAATAATTCATGCTTATTAACATAAGACCACCCACAAGCACATATCAACATTTGATCAAGAAAGAAAGTCATGCAGAAATGGTATGAGGTTAAGTAAACTTATTAATACTTTATTTTATTTTACAAAATTTTCTTTTAAAACATGTAAATGTCTGTGTTATGATTAACACTCTGGTTAACCTCTTTAAACATGATGTTCACACTGTCATTCGAGACAAAAATTAAAATTTGGCAGCTGCTGACTTCCATAGTATGTCAATGGCTACCGTCAACTGTTTGGTTCCCAACATTCTTCAAAATATCCTCTTTTGTGCTCAACAGAAGAAAGAAACTCATACAGGTCTGGAACGACTTGATGGTGAGTATATTTCCTGTAAATTTCATTTTTGAGTGACATGTATATGTGGGTGGTCTTACGTTAATGAGCGCATGGTCAACATGTCATAATCATGAATATTTTTGAATAATGTGTTTTCTGCAGCTTAATTTTTAAAGGGGTCATATGATGCGATTTAAAATTTTCCTTTCTCTTTGGAGTGTTACAAGCTCTTGGTGCAAAAAGAAGATCTAGAAAGTTGCAAAGACTAAAGTCTCAAATCCAAAGAGATATTCTTTATAAAAGTTAAGAGTCAACCACGCCTACCTAAAACTGCTCGTTCTAACACGCCCCAATATACCTACGTCACTATATGGGAAGATTTGCATAACGCCGCCCAAATGTTCACGCAAAGAAAGAAGGTGTAACTTTTATTCTCGCTGTAGTATTGTTGTAGTGTAGTGTAGTGTAGTGAAGGCGCTGTGTGATTCGTTGTGAAAGCTAAACTACTTTGTTTGGCCTTCCAAAAGAGGACGATATCTGCTTCGTCGTGCCTGGAGCTGATCCGTTCTGTTCGCTGAGGAAATACAACAACTTTGCACTGTGGATCGCCGGATCGACTTTCACCGTGGACTCCGCTTCGTCCACGGTGGTTGCCGCAAGCCTCCTTTGTCGAATCCGCCAGCCGCGCCGTTCTCAAGCCCGCGCCTCTGCTCACTCCAACCCTCCGGCCGTTCCTCACTGTAGGCCACCGCCGCTCACTCTAGGCCGCCGTGTCTGATGCTGTGTTTCGTTGTGAAAGCGAAACTACTTTGTTTGGCTTTCCAAAAATGGACACGACTAGAAATAAGTGGTTAAGTTGTATTTACAACACTTCAGACAGAAACATGCTCACTGTCAATGGTATTCAAACTGGGGTCCGAAAAAAGTTAAAAGTAATGTACTGTATTTTAAAATATTCGATTTATATTGCTTTCTGAAGCCAGTTTGGAAATCATGAGATCAACTGTGATTTATTTTATTCAATTGGCCAATTTACTCAATTCATTTTATTCAACAGACAAGTTTTTAAGAGTAAGAAAGAAATAAAATATAATAAAATATATTTTTGTAAATTATTAAACTGAAAATATTTATTTATCTTCAGAGTTATCTAACTGTACTGTAGTAGGTTGAAACACGCGCACACACACACACACACTGTCTGCTAAATATAGAATAAAAAGAAATGGGCCTAGTTCACCCAAAAATGAAAATTCTATCATTATACTCAGTTTTATGGAAAATACTATGGAAGTCAATGGGGACTATCAACTTGACTTTTGTGCAGTGAGAACATAGGCCACACTGTATATTTAATTTAAAAATGCAGTTAAAACTAATTTTGTGAAATATTATTACAATTTAATGGAACTGTTTTGTATTTGAATATATTTTAAAATATAATTTACTCCTGTGATGCAAAGCTGAATTTTCAGCATCATTACTCCAGTCTTCAGTGTCACATGATCTTTCAGAAATCATTCTAATATGTTGATTTGTTGCTTAAAAAACATTTCTTATTAATATCAGTGTTGAAAAAGTTGTGCTGCTTAATATTTTGATGGCATGTTTTTGTGCAAAACCTTGATTCTTTAAATAGAAATTTCAAAAGAACAGCATTTATTTGAAGTAGAAATCTTTCTTTGCTGTCACTTTTGATTTGGCATTATTTGGCATCGTGGCATTGGCCTTACCAAGAAAATCTGAAAAAATACCATTTATGCTAATAATGCTTAATATGGCACCTCTTGTAGCAATGCAGAGAAAACGGCTTCATTCTTTGTGTATTTGCACAGAATGAGCAGCTTTTGAGAAAAATCTGAGGAAAATACATTTATTATTTATGAGTTAACTTCGAAGCTGCAGTACAATAGAGCCGTGGAGTCATACTGTGCTCATATTGCCAAAAAAACACCATGGGTAAGTTTAATTTGGTAGACACTGCATGTTCTTTAACACTTCTCCTCAGCTCATCTTTCATTTTGTCATGTAATAACTGGCTG